CATTTATTCACCAGATAGTTATTGAGTGTGTAATCTGCACCAGACACTGTATACAGTGGTAAAGAAGACAGATGAGGTCCCTGCACTCATGGAGCTTCCAGTCTTGTTGAGGGGATAGTTTCTTGTTCATTTCCACAGAAAATCTTATTTTAAAATATCTACTTTCGTTTAAAAAAGTGAATTTTAGTTAACAAAATAAGTCTGAGTGTCTGTACTGAAAAATAAAGAAGACTTGCTAGGTTTACAAAGACCCTACGCTGAATGCAAAAGTTAAATAGTGAATGTTGGATAAACTTGAGATTTGATAACAGCTCATGTGGAGGTAAGCTGATAAATGCTCAACTACAGGCTGATAATAAAGATCAGCTATTAATTGGCTCTTGCAATACAAACCAACCATGCCACCTCAAACTTAGCTTAGCTCCCTTTAATTTATACTGCAGGCTGAGCAAACTGCAAGTTCTTTACAAAAGAAACAGAAAATCCAACCCCTCTTTCTACCCTTCTCCTCTGTTTCCCCCAATAGCAAAAGTCTCCCTTTAATTATTACTTAATAGAGAATAAGTTAATGGGGAAGTGGAGGTGGTGGAGAAAACCTCACACAGGTGAGAACTGTACTCATAATGGAATAAAATACTTTATGTCTAAAGACTTTGTTAAAGAACTTTTAATGAAGCCAGTTTTTTTTTTAAAGGGCTTTTGCAAAACCACAGATGTTTTTCAGCTCATCTAATCTAGCTTCAAATCATTTTATAGATGAGCTATTTCAGGCACCATGTGGTTTACCTACTATGTCAGAGGAGAACTATTTAATCCCAAGTCACTTGAATTTTTGTCTTCCACATACTCATTTAAAAACTGCATGAAACCCCTTTGGATTGAATTAAAGACATGCATTTCTTAGACCAGACTCTGTCAAGTGTATAGTACTTTAGCAGAGTTTTATGTTAAAAGAATGCAACATTGTTTAATGTGACTGTCAGAAGTTTAGTTCCAGAAAGACATTTCACATTTGTATGTTTTTAAACACAAGTAAGGCAAATGTTTCAGGGCAGCTGATGGAGACCTTGTACTACTTTCCTCATCCAAAATAATTGGTATCCATGGAAACATTCTGAACCAGTCAACTGACCACATTAGCTCATCTCACATGAGCTAATACAAAATGAGGTTTTGGATGCTTTTGGTTAGTTAATTGAAATGATGCAAGTTCTTTTGAACTTACAGTGTATTTATTTTCTTAGATTTTGTGTCTACATTTTTTTTTAAAGGAAAAAAAGAATAAACTTTTGCTTGATCCCCCCCCCCCATTATGTATTGTTTCTTAGCTAAAGTTTCCAAACTAAGTTGTTTTCCTCTGGCTGCTTTTAAGATTTTTCTCTTTATCACTGGTTTTTCGCAATTTGATTATGATATGCATAATCAGAAACTGGTGGTTTTCTCATAGTTCTTCTGTTTAGAGTTTGCTGACCTTCTTAAATCTTGGAGCTTCTGGTTTTCTTCAAATTTGGAAAATTTTCAGGCCTGTTTCTTCAAAGATCTTTTTCTGTCCCTCCCTTTTCTTTTTTTGGACTCCAGTAAAATGTGTGCTACACTAGTTGATACTGTCCCATGGATTACTGATGCTTTGTTCTTTTTCTTTTTCTCTTAATTTTTTTCTCTCGTTAACTTTGGGTAGTTTCTATTGCTATGTTTTCAAGTTCACTGATCTTTTTTTCTGTTGTATCTAATTGACTTTAATTCCTTCTAGGGTATTTTTCATTTCATGTATATTTTTCTTCTCTACAAGTTCCACATGAGTCATTTCTGGTCTGTTTCTGTTGATTTTTCTCCTGTTTTGGGTTGTATTTAGTAAATTTCCATAAGGTGGCAGACATTGTGAATTTTATTTATTGAGTCCTAGACTTTTCTTTTTTTAATTCCTTTAAATAACGTTGGACTTTGTTCTAACATGTAATTAAGTTACTAAGTTACTTGGATGGAATGTAAACCAGTAACATTTCCTACAGGTGTGAACACCATCTTTACTGAGTTAAGTAAATCTTAAGAAAGTATTAAATGAATAGCTTCACCTTTGTGTAGTGCCTCTTCTGAAATTCATTTTAATTTTGAATTATAAATATGGTGACTGGCAGCACGTTTTCCTACCTCATTTTCTATGATGCATAATGAGTAAGGAAGGATGAAATGTATTATGTTGTACTGCATTCTAATATATTGCTTATGACAGTATTCATTTTCACTTCCCTGTGATTCTTTGTTTGCTGTTAGAATAATTAAGTAATTTGGAAAGATTTTGAAATCAGTAAGTTGTTTATTGTGTCCATGTAAAGGTATAAAGACTAAGATGACTTTTTGTTTTGTAATAGATGCAGCTTTGAAAACAAGAGATAACTCAACTTCTGTAGAATTACTAAGGGGGTTTACTATTCTACTTTTGTTTGGAGAGTGCAGCCAAATGAGATTTTTCATGTGTAAAGAAATAATTTATCCACAGTCGGAGGACAATACAACACAAGTATCTTTTTCCGTTTCCCCAAATTAAATTTTTCATGGAAGTTAACATTTTTTAAAATACATGCTTTCTTAGGTTCTTTTTATCAACTAAAGCACAGGACCTTGTATATATGACAGGGGTATTTATTTAAAAAAAATAAACTCACCTGTCCTGAGATCACGACTCTGACCTCAGGGCAGAGGGCTTGCCATCGTTGACTTGGCGTAGTGAAGTTTGGACATTTTAGCTCCTCTTCAAAAAATCCTCCTCCACTTTCACTTTGCGTTTCATGAATTCATTTATCCACATAATACTGCTGGATACTAGTAAAACATCCCATTTTTTATACCTGTTTGAGCCTTAGTTTTTTTTGCATAGCCATTTATTTCCATTTTGTTTTGTTTTTTGAATCTTCACATCTCAGTTTCCTGAAATGTATTAGAATATTGACCTTACAAATTCTAAGTTGATTTATTTCTTCTTAGCTTTAGAAAGATTAAGCCATGTCCTCAGTCACACGTCCAGTAAGGCTGGGACTCAGCCTTAGGTCTTCTGCCTCCCAAGTTCACATTCCTCCTCACTGCGGAGGGAGTGTTTGGAACAAGGTCTTATTTGCTCTTTCATAGCCGACCCCGTCTTTCTGTTTATCATGGTATTCCCTGCTGTCTGACCTTGATTTATTTAACTGGCTAAATGTTTGTGCTGTAGTTTTCTGGTGATTACCATTCTAATATATGAAGTATATTATTGTGGGAAAACACTGAATGGTTTGAGCAGTTTTCTGGAATCTATTGGAGATACAAAAGTAATAGAATACAAGTCCTTCCTTACCACTGACTTAATGGAGAAAAAAGAGTTATAATACTGAATTTGAAAGAATTTAGAATATGTTAAAAGTGTTAAAAAAAAGTTTCTCGTCCTAAGAATTTTCTCTTTTAAAAAAGTTGAGCAGGTAGGTGAAGAGCTCAGGTTCTGTCACTGGAGCTCGGTGAGCACGGCGCGTCCGAGGCCTGTAGTAACGAGTGGTGTCCATCATTTAGTGAGTCCTCAGGCCGTTCCTACTCCTGTTAAGCATGCATTATTGGATTTAACCCTTACAGGTATGGAGTTTAAATATTTATTAGCCTTATTTTATGTATGTGCCGTGAGGAGATTTTAAATACTCTGGCTGAGGCCCACACAGCTAGCTAGTAACCAGCACAGTCAGGATTTGAACGTGAGGCCCTCATGCCGCAAAGCATACGGTCTTCCAAAGCCTGTGCTAAGAACTACAAAGCCATATGGAAATGAAATTAGCATCCTGGTCGTTTATAGCCATGTCTTTCATCAGCTGAATCAGCTGTTTTGCAGTGAGTGTAGAAGAAACAGATATAGGAAATTCCAAGTTAATCTATAAGTAATAATATTTGTCATGCGACTTTGTTTCGGTTAGCTTTCAGCACATCCCACCTGTATGTCTGATTGTGTGTGCACATGTGTGGGGGCACGTATACCACAATATCTAGAGTGCTCTTACCTGGTTAAAAAATCAGTTTTTGACCTGTTGCAGGGATTCTTTAAAGATTTCAGTACTGTAAATTTGAATAATTCTAATAATTTTATTTTTTCCCTCATGATTTTGAAATAGTTTTTGATTTTATAGCAGGATATATAAATCACCAGAGAGAAAATTGGTTGTATCTTGGATATAGTTTGGAGTTATATTTATAAAATATGAAGTGTATTTTATAAAGAATATTCAGAATAGGGTAGACTTTTGGAATTGTATTTGTTCTCATTGTGTATAATTAAATTTTATTTTGTTAGCTTTGCAAAAACTAGAACTTTATCGAAATAGTGGTATTATTTGAGAAGTCTCCTAGGGACAGAGAATTGGCCGAATGTGTTTCCAGAGGCCAAGTTAATGAGGGATTGCATTTTGAAGGTGCAGAGAAACTCTTTCCCTTTTCTTCTTCCCCATCATCCTTCTCCCCCACACGCCACCTGAGCGCTGCACTGCAGTCTCTCAGAGAACACAGAAACCGTGACCCAGCATCTGTCACCAGTGCTCTCTGCTTTGCTGCTCAGGTCGCGCTTTCTGCCCTGTCTGTGCCTCACGACAGGAAAGGAGTGGACTCTGACATCGGGGCAGGACTTGCCCACTCACCAGTTGCACGTGTCACTGACTAGAGTGCACAGTGATACTTAGTTTTGTCTGATTTGTGTCTTCTAGTCCTTTGTCCTTTTTTTCTGAATCCTTAAATTTTTAATTTTAAACTTCATTTACATTAGAAAGAATTCTGTAAACAGCAGAAACTGCACATCAGTTCTATCCCTGGGGTGCTCGTGGTGAGAGCAGGAAGGCACAGTCATTCCTCCCTTTGAGTGAAAGCGGTCCTCTTTGTGAGTGTCCACAAATACTGTGGACAGAGGAGGTGACAAGGCTAAGCAGGATGCATATCCACAGAAAAATTTTAGAGAGAGTTCGTAAAAGGAATTTTAAGTAGTTTAAATTTTAATTCACTTAATATATTACTGAATGTTTTCTCTGCTTATTGTCTCTCATAGGCAAGAGTACACACTGGGAGATTCAGCTTGTAAGAATTCCGAGTCTGACCCAGAGGACTTCTCAGATGAAACAAATGCGGAGAATCTGTATGGCACCTCTCCGCCCAGCACACCTCGGCAGATGAAACGCATGTCCACCAAGCACCAGAGGAATAGTGTAGGGAGGCCGGCCAGCCGGGCTAATTTGAAAGGTAAATCTTGTACTTAAAAAGCAATACGTGAAGGGTGTGGCACGCTTGGTATATAATCTTTATATAACATGTTAACTATTGATAGATCCTTTCTAGGATAACGTTAGTTTTTCCTCTTATTTTAAATTTGATTTTATGCTGCTTTTAAAATTAAAAAAATTTATTTTGGATTATTACCATTAGCAGTATTGTTAATAAAGGAGAAAATAATTCTCCAGAGATAACAAGGTTTGTCCTGAGTAATTGTTAAAGTCAGTGTGTGAGGCGTTCGCCTTCCTTATAGGATGTGGACGAGGCCAAATGTGGATGAATCGGCGCTCTCACCCAGGAGAGCTGCTGGCGTACGGGATGGATGGCCTTCTTCACTCTTTGAATCTCTTAGGCTGAAATTTCTAGATTCCGTCTTGCAGACATGATGTGCTGGGCAATTTGGGAGGGGCAGGCCAGCCTTCCTGCCCAGGACGCTGCCCTCGGTGCTCAGGGCCCCTTCTCTCCGGCACGGAGCCTGGGTGGCACCTCCTCCCACCGCGGACAGACCCTGTGTTGTACTTGCCCTTCTGTTGAGGCTCCCGCCGTCCAGGTGGTGTTCTGCCCGAGAGACTGAGCGCGTTCGCTGTCTCCCGTCTTGCTTCCCCCCGGCTCGCCGCAGCTGTGCGTCCTGGGAGGCGAGCTGACCCGCGCTGCCTGCTGCTGCCTCGTACCCAGCTTTCTGGCGTGGAACTCAGGGCACTGGAGCCTGGGTGTTAGAATTTCTCTGTTAACTTCAGCAAGCCGCTTGTCCTAAAACTGATCCCATAGCTTCCTAGACCTCATCTCCCCGATACCGTCGGAGACGGGTTTCGCTCTTCAACTCCTCTGAGAAATTGCCCCGTGTATCTCACGCTCTCCCTCCTGAGAACAAACTCAGGCCCGTTTCTCCCTTTCTTTAGCCCACGTTCTTCCTCTCTTTTTGGCCGAGTTTCTCTTCGCACACATTTTTTCCGCACGTTGATCTCTCGTGGTTGACGTCGGCAAGCTCACCCTGCGTCCCTGTCGTGGCCCTTCCTCGAGAAGGAGGAGGGGAGAGAAACGGGCTTCATCGTGCTTACTCGCTTGCGTGAGATCTCATCCCAGGAGGAACTCCTCAGTACTGAAGAGTCTTTCTTTCCACAGGGAAGATTTTTTTCTTTTCTTTTCTTTTGAAACTTTGTAGCAGGATGTTAACCTGTGGCCTGTCTTTGCCCTCTTCGGAAAGTAATAGCTTTCTTTTTTTTTTTAATATATATTTTTTTTATTGAAGTGTAGTCAGTTTACAATGCTGTGTCAATTTCTGGTCTGGAGCACAATGCCTCAGTCATACGTGAACATACACACACCACTTTCATATTCTTTTTCACCATAAGTTACTATAAGGTATTGAATATAGTTTCCTGTGCTGTACAGTATGAACTTGTCGTTTATCTATTTTATGTGTATCAGTTAGTATCTGCAAATCTAGAACTCCCAGTTTATCCCCTCCCCCCCCCACTCTGTAGAAAGGAATAGCTTTCCATTGCAATATGTTATCTTTAAATCAATCCTTATCCATTTTCTCAAAGAAACTTCTCAGCTGCCTGTAGAAGTTCTTTATCTAAAATGCTATCAGTGGAGCAGCGCCCGCTGAATCAGTATTAGTTGATATGTACTTGCTCTGTGGTGGTAAAGTGAGATGGTGCCAGTAGGACATCTGTTTTTTCTTCACTTGTTGGTACACACTGTTTTAGAACAGGAGTTGAGAACACAATTCTCGCATTTTATAGATTGAGAAAGTGAGGTCCAGAGTTTTAAAGCAACTTCTTAAGGCCGGAAGGCTTGAGATAGTGGCAGGACTATTTTTAGAACTGATTCTCCTGGTGCACAGTTTGGCCCTTCTTCCTAGTACAAGCCGCAGGCATTAAGCTTATCTGAATGCAATACTTCGGATGACTGTATGTCTTTACTAATCAGTCAGAAAACCAGTCACTCGATACTTTGTGAGCTGTTACTGTCCTGGGCGGTGTTGCAGACGGAAGGAGGAAGGAAAGTTGTCTCTTTTCCTCTTTGACTTCTTTCAGTTGTTTATTTCATAAAATTATAGAATTTAGATGTGGAAGGGGTCCTAGTGACTACTGTTTATTTAATAGCAAACCTAGGATACCAAAATTCATAATAATTTATTTTTTTCTTATTGCAAAAGATTACGTTTGTTCTAGGGAATTTATAAAATACTGACAAAAATAAATGAAAGTATCCATGAACTCAACATGTAGAAATAGCAGCTTTTACCGTCTGTGCCTTGTAGTGTCTCCTCTTTCATGTATTTCTGTTGCGACTACTATATTATCCTATATGTACCATTTTACAGCTGGCTTCCTTTTTCACTTAATGTGTCATGAATTATGATGTATTAATGTATACGTTAATATCATAATAACCCAATGAGATGTAGGGTCTGTATATTACTTTCCAATTTACGATCGAGGAAATGGCACAGAGAGTTTCTAAGCTTTCTCTTTCTAGCTGTCCTGCTCATGGGTGTATTGGAAAGTGGCTTCATGTGCTTGCCGTCTGGTGAGTTGTTTTTGTCAGCGCGCTCGTTCAGGAATACCGAGAGAAGGTGGACCTGCAGCGCCCGTGCTGGCCGGCGTTCTGCTGGCGGGGCGCTCGTGCTGTGATGGTACAACAGCCCTTGAGAACTTCCCTGCTTCTGGACTCCGAGGCGTGGTGGACAGAGCTCAGGCTTGGCTGCCTGGATTCTAATCCTGGTTCTGCCCCCTTCTGCATATGCCACCTCTGTGTCTCATTCTCTTCATCTGTAAATTAATCTGCCTTTCAGTGTTGTAAGAGTTACATGTTCAGTAGGTATTAGCTGTCATTCTTACTACTGTAAGCTGAAGATTTCTTTCTCACTACTTGCCTTAAATTTTAAAGTAGAATTAAATAATCACATCGTTTAACGTTACTTAGTGTTCAGGACCCTTAGTCTCAAGTCACATAGCTGCCAAGCTGTGGAGGTGGGACTCCAACCCATCTGGATTATCTGTCTCTTTTTGCTCTTTCTAGCACTTTTCCTTTTTCTCACTCTGTGTTTTCCCATCATAGTTACTTATTCACAGAGCCTTTCTTTCCTCCCTTCCTCCCTTTCTGTTTCCCTTTACCTCTCTTTCCTTTCTTCTAGCCTCTTTTCTCACTCCCTTGTTTCCTCCCTCCCTCCCACTCCTCCTGTACTTCTCCTTCCTTCTTTCCATTGACTCAGAATTGTGCTGGCCCCGTAGGCATGTACGTGATCGGTGTGCGTAGCCTGTCGCCCCTGGGAATCACGCAGATACTCAGGCAGTGCCATCTCGTGCAGTACAGCTGGGACGGAGGCCAGGGAGGAGGGCTGCTGCAGGCGCCCGCAGGAGAGGGTGGAGAGGGCCTCGCCCGGGGAGACTTCTGGGACAAGAGACATTTGTGCTGTGACCTGAAGGCTGAATCAGGGAGACCAATATTTAAGACACGTTTGTGATTCATACTAATATATTGACCTCTCAGTATTTTCAAGGGCTTTTTAAGAATTAGACTGGTCAGATTTATGTTAAAAGTTTTCCAGGGAAATGTGGATTGGTGCATTACTTCTTTCTCACTGCAACAAGCAGAGGCTCCCTGAATCATACTCTTCATCTTACAACTGCAGTCAGAGTTGAACTCATCTTTTTAATTAATGTCACCAATAATATTTGCATTTTCTGCTTATCTTTTGCTTTGTAACAAACCACCCTAAACTTAAGTGATATGAAGGCACACACATTGTATTGTGCTTATGGTCCTGGGGCTCAGGTGTTCAGGCCAGGCACAGCTCGTCTCTGCCCCTTGATGTCTGGAGCCCTGGCTGAAGCAGCTCAGCTGCTGGAGGTGCTGTCATAGGCTGGGCCCTCAGTTCTTCTCCGCGTGGTGTCTGCTTGGTCTCTGATGTCCTAGACAGCACCTTCACTGACTCTGGCACCTGGGCTGATAGCTCCTGGCATCGTTTGTGTTCCCAGGTGACATCCACGTGGCTGTCCTGGCTTGTCTCACAGCATATGGTCCCTAGGTAATTGACTTCTTAAATGGCAGCTGGCTTCCCTCAGAGCAAGTGTCTTGATAGATAGAGGTGTAATGTGTAAGCTTCTTATGACTTAGCTTGGGAAGTCACATAGCATCACTTCTGCTGCATTCTTCTGGCTGCACAGGGCCCAGCAGAGTTCAGGTGGGAGGGGACCACACAGGCATCAGCACCCAGAGGTGTGCTTCTTTAGTTATCTTGAGAGACTAGCTCCCACCTGCATGGAAAGCTTTGTGGTGTTTTGGTCAGTAGTGCTCTGTGCACCCTCCAGCCTCTCTGCTCCATAAATGGAGGTACCATCAGGAGCATCCCTGAAGGAATGTAAGGACACACACAGGTAACTGAGGGCACTGTGTGATGAAAGGAGGCGAGAGTAGCCACTAACACTTCTCCTTAGTGATGGTAGCCATTTTCTTGAACTGATTCGGTGATTCTTTAAATATTCCTGTTCTCATAGGCTCAGAGCCACTAACTGCTGTTGCTATAGACACATTTTTATAATTGGAAATTTAGTACCAGGTAGCCTTCTGACCAACTGGCTATCGATTGAGGGGTCCCATGAGAGAGCTGCTCACAGAACTCGGGAGCACACTTTACTGATGTTTATCTGTTTATGATAAAGGACTCAGAAACAGCCCAAAGGAAGAGATGCATAGGGCAAGGTGTGGGGCGTGGAGCTTCCACACCCTCTCCAGAACGCAATCTTCCTAGCGCCTTGATGTGTTCCCTGGCTTAGAAACTCATCAGGTCTCCTTGTTCCAGACTTTTTGTGGACATTAGTCTGCAGGCCCCGCCCCCAGCCTCCCAACTCTTTCGGGGAGGTCTGGTTGGTGGTTGGGGCTGAGAGCTCCTGCTCTGATCTCTTGCTCCTTCCTTGACCAGCCCATCCTGAGGCTGTCTGGGGGCCCCACCCTAAGTT